AACTAGAAGGGGTGGGGACCACTATAAATGAAGGCGAAAACTCCTTTAATGACTAAATATTAAAATATCCTCCAACGATGGAAACTTGTAAATATGCTAAGGTATAGTGAATAAAATCCCCGTCTTAACAAGATGTAATGTATAACTTAACACGCTAGGGTTCCTGATAAATAAATTATTGAATTCCTAACCAATGCGCACATCGTGGTATTTTATTATTTCCTCCCTATGCGCCGGTCTTATAGTGACCGTCCGGGGGGAGGGGGGGGGAGGTGAAAAGGGATACCTGTTACGCACCGCGCCAGTGCTACTACACACCGCGCGGCCTTGAGTTGGGCGCCAGACATGGTTTACGTAACGGGTCAAATAGTGGGTTGGGGCATACACTGCCACACTACTATACAAATACAATTTTTAATGTGATTTTTAATTTTAATATAAATTTATTAACAAAAGAATTTAAAAAGAAGAAGAACAACAAAAAAGCATTACTCCCAAAATTGGTTTCCATCATAAAAAGCACCATTTAAGATGTTTAAAGCAAACGAAAAAAAAAAAAGACTTACTTATGATAAATACCCTTACAACGCAATAATTTTGACCAGAATTAATAGATGTAAACTTATGTTCTATTTTAACTGTTTTAAACCGATTGTAATGGGACAACTTTTAAAACATAGCTCCTTAATGTGTGTGAGTGATTGTAGAGGGCTATCCCTGGCATAACTAAAGCGATACTTGGAGGAATTTGTCATAGTTACGGTATTTATAATGCTTGTTATAGGAAACAAATACAAAGAGATGTCATTAAAGTTATTAAATGTAATCCACGTGGATATATAGGGGGGGGGCATAAAAGCTAATTGAAACGATTGTTTAGTTTTTATACAGTTGTATAGTAGAAAAATTGTGAGGCTTGTTTGAAAATGAATCATGTGTGTCCCGTGTTCCCCGGTCGGTTGAAAGATCAATCTGGTTTTTTAAAAAAATCTGTGCGATAGACATGAAATATTTTACAAGTGAATTCATTAATCTCGGTGGCCGAATAAGGGCCAAAATTTATTTTAAATAAATATTGTTTTGCTGTTTATAAAATTATTACAAATAATTCAACTTTTTGATCCGAAAATCTTTTTCCGTTAAAGTTTATAATACTTCGATTTTACGATGTACTCCAGGGAAAAAATATGCATTCATGTAAGTGTTCTGTACAGGTTAAAAATTTAATTTGTTGTTAGATTTCCTTTGATAACGCATTTTGAAACGATAATTAAAGTGTTTTTATTTGTGAAAATATGATTTGTATGTTTATAAAAAGATTTCTGTATGCTACAGAATTTTTGAAATAATGGTGTACACTGTCACAGTGAGTGTGCTTCAAATAAGTAAAGTAAAAAAAAGTGCGATAATAGGTTAAATCGTGAATTATAGGATTCGTACTAGCTAGATATCTAGTTGTCTATCATTGCTGTCAATTTAATAAATTAAGTTTTTATTAAGATTTAAAATTTACATGTATTTTTAATTAAAAATAATAAATAAAAAGAGAAATTAGGCATTCATTAACACTTCACTTAGAGTAGACTTTGATTAGAATTAGCCGTCAACCTTACACTTACCTTACACTTACAGTACAAAAAATCATGGAAGATTTTGACGGCTTAGACTAAATCTTATGAGTAGTCTTATCTATCAATTTATGTAATTTTCTAGGCCTAATACATAGTACAAAGATCTAAGTAAAAAAAGTTACAGTACAGCTGTCCTAATTTCAATGGTCGCTATATACTATATTAATTTATGCCATACTACTAATGACACTTAAGCTATTTATCTGCCGTAAAGTTATAGCCTAAAATAATTTTGTTTGGTCATAATCAGAATGAGATTTGAGATCCAGGCCTTTTAAATGCATCTATAGTCTCTACAATTAGATCTTTAACTTTAAATAATTAAATTTTGTAATTTTTTTATTAGTGTTGAGTGTCTGTCTAATATTACAATGTCTCACAATTTATGTAAAAAATAATAGCTAATTTTTTTCTTTTTCCATGTAGGTAGACCTCAAAGACAACGTCTCACTGTTGAATATGTACTGGATCACCTTGATGATTCTGAATTTGATTTGTCGGAGTCAGATGACTCGAGTGATGAAATGTACAGCCCCGATAATGAGGCGCATGATGATGATGATGAACCGCATCAAAGTACTGATTACGATCATGTTGTCAGTGACGAAGATGACAATGCTGGTGTCGGCCCCTCAACGCTCGGAACAACTTCCTCCATAAAATGGCGCTCTCAAAGAGAACCACTTAATCCTAATGCCTTATGGAAAGATCAACTTGATCTTGGCATTGGATTTTCATCCCCTTGCCAATATTTTCTGGAATATTTCAAGGCTGAAACATTTGAAAAATTTGTTGAACAAACAAATATATACCATCTTATGCAAACGGGAAAAGTGTTATATACCACTGCAGAAGCAATAACTATTATTATGGGAAACTTAAAATTTCCAAGAATTAGAATGTATTGGCAAAAAGCCACCAGAGTCAGTTCTGTTGCTGAAATCATGCCTGTCAATCGCTATAAGCTACTTCGAAGCAGCATTCACATTTTTGCTGGAGAAAAACCTCAACCAAATGAGCAGCTAAATAAATTATGGAAAATTCAACCGCTGGTCGAGGCAATAAGAGCT